TTGTGATAACGTTTATTAATCATTAATATGAATAAAGGGGATCACTACCAGCGCATTAACAGGGCATAAATCTTATAAAACTTAAGATGAAGACGTAATGGTTATAGAAAGTTGTGCAAGTAATTATATAGAATCTGATCAACTATGAAAATGTTTCATACCTCTTCTTCAGTCCATCCACCTCGTCCGCCATTTCCACCTCGTTCTCCACACTCTCATCAGGTTTCTCTTCGATCCAAAAGCAGCCCAAACTCTTTATCACATGATAAAAGATTAAAAATAAAACTAATAACCAGACGATTTCTAAAACTTTCAAAAACTCGAAAACCCAGATTCAACATACCTCATCTGACCATCAAACGAAGTTCCCCAAGTCCTTCACAAAGTAGATCAGCAGATCATCAAGCAAGAAAACAAACAAATATCAAGATTCATTAAGGCGCTAGCTAGAAGGTTAAGTAACATTTTGAACTTCTGAGACGATCGAACTACCTCTTGCCATTCCGAACAAGGTGACCCTTGAATCCTTGATGTAACCTCCCCTGCGCGACGGTCCAGCTCATTTTTGGCGATATGTGTGCCGAGGTCCATTTTCGCATCCAACTCTACCGGAGAAAAGGCTCATTACCGGAGCCTTGAGGGCCCGATCTTCGCCTGAAACCGCTCACGGCGATGAAACGAGATTTCGTGGCCATTGATGAGAGCCGAGGGATCGATCCGCCAGAGCTCGTCGTCTTCAAGTTCTCTCCAGCGCAACGTTCGATGAGCGACTGCGAATCCTAGCTCCGATGACCGTAAGAAGACGCCCTAACGAGCGCGATCTGTAGGCGGGAAATTGGAAAGCGTATGGGCCATGGGGAAGGAGCGCCAGATCATCCCCGGAGCTTATATACCCGCTTGTGCGCACATCAAAACCAAGACAATAAATATATTAATGCAATTATTACTTTATCATTTCATTAATTGCATATATTACATAAATGAATAAATGATAGCATTTATTATTTTATCTTTTTTATACAAATAATTATCACTAATAACCTCTACTCATAATCCTCCTCAAGGAATGATTAGAACTACTCTTTTTCCATCACCTTAGACAACTACAAAATACTATTTTTATATGTTCAAAAAAATCAAAATTTATTATTCACCCAATTTCTTTAAAATATTTTCCCATATTTTACATTAGATGATACATATTTGCTTAAAAGAAAATCCCCATCCTTCAAAATGATGATTAAGGATTCGTTTGGGACGATTTTTTTATTGCTTCTTAAAATTGAGTTTTAATAAAAAATTAAATTTTTTAAAATAAAATTCCACTTTAAAAATTAATAAAAAGTCATACCAA